TAAAAATTTTAAAAAAGTTATATTTTTATTTTTATAGAATCTCATATAAATCATATTCAATTGTAAAATAAAAAATGTTAGATAATAATAATAATAATAAACTTTGTTTTTTTTCGATGGTTTCCTGTTTAAAGTTGTAAATAGGATCACATAAAATGTGTTAAATTCTTTTCGAATGTCGGCGATATAATTTTTGTGTTCGTTGTTTTTTGGATGGTCAATTTTTCTTTCCGTTTTAGCTTATGATGAAAAATTGAAAATACTTCGGCCCAAGTTAATAGGATAATGGGCCAGATTGTGTCTGATACTGAATTGGGCTAGCCCAACTACTTGCATCTGGGCTCCTTGCACTTCACATCACATCTCCATTCTCCAACAAATCACAAAGATGATTTTTATTAATTTATTTATTTCCATAAAGACTACCACCAGCTGCTGATGGTTAATTATTAAAAAATAATTTAGAAATAGTTTTTAATATAATTTTTTTATATTACTTTAAATGTCATTTAATATTTGACTCATTTCATTTTATTAGAATTTTTAATATTGTGTATATTTATTTATTTAAGGAATTTTGTAAAGAAATGTATTTATTGTACATTTTTACTATTAATACACATATTAAATAAGAATTTAAGTAATAATTAATTAAAAATAAATATGAAATTTTAACCTTTTAAAGATATCATTTAATACATATATTCTTATTTTATCTTTATTTTAAAAAGATAATTACAGCATAAATTAAATAAAAATTTAAGTAATAATTAATTAAAAATAAATATATAATTTTATCAATTAATTATTACATTTATATTTTATTGGATAAAAAAACAAAGTTCATTAAAGTTAAACAGAGATAATAATTAGCTATTTGAAAATCTTATTTAACTATTTACGCTATACTAAATTGGAAAATATAAACAATTATGTGAGAAATAACTTTTTAATTTCAAAGAATCTACCACTATTTAATAATTTAAATCATATAATCTGGTATAATTAAGATTCAACAACATTTTATTGTTTCAACTGCTGCTTTGTTGTCATTTTGCATATGACACCTTGATACCAGCTTACTTTAAACTGGAAACAAAAACTTGAAAAATTGAGAACAAAATCCTACTTCAGATTCTAAACATCAAAAACCAATTCCAATGAGTTTAACATTGTTTTAGTCCCATTAAAAAAAAAAAGAAAAAAGAAAAAAAAAACATTGTTTTAGAAGAGCCATTCAACAATGAAACAATGGATAATCCCAAAAATCAAAGGGATAGCTAATTAGCAAATACCATCTCCATTCTCCCAACTCAGAGATAAAGTACATTTGAGACTTCATTGATATTTTTAACATCATAATTTCAGGGATGAATTTGAACCCAAATTTCCAACACACTCAAAATACACATAACATTTTATTTGTTCATAACTATTTTCTTCCCAAAACCAACATTAAAATTGCAACACCCAAAAATCCTGGTTTTTACCTTCTTCTTAGGCTTACCCTTCCTCCCCAGAAATCCAGCCAACATTTTGATTATGGAGGAAGACCCTTTTTCTTCACACTTACAGTCCGCAACGTCAACAAAACGGACGACCCGGACAACGTCGGACGACGGAGAAACTCTGGCGGAACCCAGAGATGGAAGCACCATTAGATGCCGTTCGATCAAATGACTGAGAGAAACCAACTCGAACGAATCATACAACGGACTCCCACAATCCCATATCGCCGATACTGCCTTTTCTTCCTCTTCTTCTTTTCCGATTGCTCTGTTTTCCGACGTTTTTTTCTTCATCTGGGTTCTGAACAATTGAGAAACTTGTTAATCTGGGTTATCAGATTGCAGGTTACGATATTGAAAAAAAAAATTATAAATATATATATACACATAAATACTTGGAATTGATCCTACATAGAGATTCTCTTCATGATGTGTTTCTGGTTAAGTGGGGAAATGGGACGCCATGTGTTTGATGGATTGCCCCTGAGGAAGATTAAGAGAAGGAGCACAACCAGAATCTTTTAAATATCATATATATGAATTAGGCAAAAACTAGGTCCAGATTTTTTTAGGTGGGTTGGTTTAAGAAAATGATGGGTAATCTAATTTAATATTTGGGTGCCTACCTAAATTAGTTGGGATAATTAGTTCACGAACACACACCATATATAACATAAATTTGCTTATTAAGAATCTGATTATGAGGCATTCAGAATCACAATCTGCACTTTCTCCATCCCGCTCCCCCCTTTTCCCTTTTTTTTTTTTCTTTTATGTTTGGTTAAATGTCAATTTTGGTCTCTTAACTTTAAAATCTTATTAGTTTTAGTCCCTTAACTTTTTATACATTTTTTTGTCCCTTAACTTTTTATACATTTTTTTGTCCTTTAACTTTTTATACATTTTTTTATCCCTTAATTATGAAAAATATTCTTTTTAATCATTCTGTTAATAAGTTCGTTAAGTATATATATATATATATACATTTTTAGTCCTTGAATTTTTAATTTGAAGGAACGGCCTGCTCTGGTCTAGTGGCATTAAATTTTGGATTAAAACTGTTCACCTCCAGTGGGTTACACGTTCGTATCTCACGAAATCCCTTTTCTCCCTCCCTAATTAACTCTGTAAATAATTATAAATTGTTCAAAAAAAAATTGAAGGACAAAAATTATATAAAATCTAAAAATTGAGAAATTAAAAATATGCATATATAAATAAACTTAATAGGCTAATTGATTAAAATACTAAAAAAACATATTTTTCGTAATTAAAGAACTAAAAAAAGCTGAGGGATTAAAATTGCATAAAATTCTAAAGTTAATAAATTAAAAGTGACTTTTAACTTTTTCTTTTTTATAGAAAGTAAAGTACAAACATAATATTCAATATAAATATTTCGACTGAGCTATATTACAGAAATCAAGAAAAACCCAAAAAGATAAAAAAACCTATCATGTATAATAATTGAACTCATAAGCTTATGATTACAGGGCTTCAATTTTTGGGACTGAGCCAATGACGTCAATGGCCATCCCTCTCCTGGGTGGGGTTATTGCCACAGCCACTAATGTTAATGCCACAGCTTTTTTTAGTTATTTGACTATTATACCCCTCATTTTGAATCCAACTTGGAACTTGCAGCAGTCATCACCTTCTCCGCGTGGGTTAATGGTCAATTAATTAAAAAAGCTGTGGTATTAACCTTTGAAGCTGTGGCAATAACACCACCCCCCTCTCCTTTAAGCAATACATTTTCGGATAAACCCAATTCTACTACTTCTGCTCCTCATCAATTGCATATTGGGGTAATAATTAATTCAGCTTTCAATATATCACTTGACTTTGCCTTAGACATTGATGTCGTCTTTTGTTTACAAAGAAGGGAAAACGCATAGAGATGTAGTTGAACTTAGTGGATAAGAATTGGGACCAATTTGGAAATTCCCAGAATCTCTGTCATAATTTCCCTATTCCCACTATTAAATATAGGAAGTTAACACAAATGAATCTATCTTTAGCTTTAATCCAGTAGAGGTAGTGTTTACTTTTCCACTCTAATCGTATCCCTAGCTGTTTTAGTCACTGCCACATATGGTATTATTAGATTTCTAAAAGTAAACAGTTTAAAATAGTATTTTTTCATTTAAACTACAAATTAAAAATTGTTAGATGAAAATATTTATTTCTACAATTAAAAATTCCTATTATCCGTTTGCACTAAAAATTAACTATAGCTCTCTATCTTATACCATGGAAAACTGTGTTTGGATGAGACATCAAGAGAGATAGCTTAAACGTGAATTATGTAGATATAGAAACAAAATATTAAAATCAACCCTTTTCTTTTTTTTTTTATTTAATTTGAGTGAAAAAATTTTAATTTTTTTTAAAATAAAAGTTTAAATTTGGATTTTATAAATAAAAAAATATAT